GACTGTTTATGGTCATGCCATGCTTTCAATCCATCTATTCCATTAAACGGATACGGAATCCAGCAAAAACTTTTACTCTAGAATCTGGAATCCACACAGTTGGAATCCGCAGTTTCCGCAATGGAAATTCGATAAAACAACTCGGAATCCGAATAAGTGACTTCAAGAATGCTTCCTAGTTTTAAACGAGGCACTGACTAAAAAAAGTATTTTTTTTTTGTTTTTTTTTTTTTTTTTTTTGCAATTTGAAATAAATATGGTAGAGTCCAGAATCCTTGTAAAGTTTTTACTGGAATCAGGAATCCAGGAACGCTCCGGATTCCTTGATTTTTGCTACCCGTTTAAGTTTGGCGAACTGATTTTCTGTAGGTTGATTAAAAAAAAAATGTTTAAAAACAAGCTTTTAGCTCAACTAAGGAAACTTCCACACATAGCGATATCTATAATGCATGTAAATACGAACTTTTTGAAAGAAAAAATAAGTAAAAAACATTTGTCTTACCTTATGATGTGGTCTTAGTTACTTTACTTATATCACTGCGTTTGGCGGTGGAGTAAGGGACCACGGCTTGCGGGATTCACCGAAAGAGACCGAAAATCGATCTAAATCACTCTTAACGTTTTTCTTTGACATTGAGATTTACACAGGAGTTGGAAAAACGGTTGGTGGTGGCTATGGCGAGGATTTTCGGTTCAATTTGGACGAAAAAGATGCAATTTTTGCTGAAAAAGTGATCTGACCATTGAATTTTTTCGAGCCGGTCTGTCCTGCCTTTCAGTGATATAGTAAAGGAGGGGAGATATCAAAGAAAAACGGCTAATTACGCCTAAATTCATAACTAAGACCACATCATAAGGTAAAGACAAATGTTTTTTACTTATTTTTTCTTTCAAAAAGTTCGTATTTACATGCATTATAGATATCGCTATAATCTGCTAGTTAAATACTTAGCTTGGGCTGCCTGTGGTCTCGCGACCATATTTTAATAAAGAAGAATTAAGGAAGACCAAAGTGAAGCAAAAAAWGAAGAGCAGGAAGCCAGAGTGAAACACCTGCGGATGAGATAAGGTCATATTCACATTTCGTAATTCGCTATTGAAAATGAAAAAGAAAATGCATAGAATCATAGAATCCAAAATGGTGGACAGCAACTGCGGCGTTGTCACGGAGCAGAGCTGAAACGAAGGAGGTTGTCGTCTCTATCCTGAGTCKTTCGATAAGCCATCGGAAAAAAAAACTTGACAAGACATTCAAAAAGGTTATGAAGCTTATGTGACGCTGTATATGTGGTTGACATCGACAACGCACTAATTTCAAAACTTGTTAGGGAAACGCGCTTAGTTTTGACATAGTCATKTACTCCGACCTTTACATGTAATGTCAAAATATCTTGTTAAAGTATGTTTCTTCTTGAATATCAGATTCATTGATACAGAAAGGTATATTTTCAAGTCTTTTTATTATTCTCACACAAATGATTTCACCTCAAGCTTATAGGTGATGGTGATCTATGGCACCGGCTTGCAGACAGAAAATGTCTTTGGAGCAAGGGTTGGGGTTACTGTGAAGTTACAAAATCAAAATATATAATAAACTATAACATCAAAACATTTATTTTATTTAAGTCACTACTAAATCGGTGTTTGAATATTTATAAATTTTTGATTTCGGTTATTTTTGATTGACAACGGCTACCAAAAACACTAGTTTGTGACGCAAAACATGGACCATGTTCATTGAGGTTGGCTATTCGAAAATRCTAGYGGTAAATCATCTTTAAAAAAAGACAACCGTGGCACCTGTACGCCCCAATTGTTAATTATTTCTTGTGGACGGCATTCGATTATTTTCAGTTTCTTCAGTCCGMGAACTACAAAAGACATATTCTTATTTGTCTTAAAGCACGTAGTAAACTCTAGGATGTTCTAAAAGGCTGGCCTGACTTTTGTATATGGCTCCATTTTTACCCAAGACGGACTGTTGTGATARTACTGTAACTTATGAAGTATCGTCCATGGTTGAYGATAACCGTCCAATTTCGAGCTCTTGAAACTCTCTTGTAAAGTTCTGCTTTTTAAAGGTACAATTGAAGCATAGTTTTTGTTTTTGCAATGCGGTACTTTCAGTGKATTAGAGAGTATCAATAGAGTTAATTCAGTGCCACTGTCAATAGTCACGTACTCAAGATGAATAAAGAAAGCAATCGTAACGATCTGAAAACCTCCTTTGTTCTTTTACCAAACCGTACGTCTGGCTACTGTTACTTTTTATTCCTTTTTACAAATTAATTTTGAAACTTCCCATAGTTAAATASCAATTAGTCAGGCAACTGGACTCATGTTTTTTTGCTCGTAAAGATATCGGATCAACGGAGAGCCAGACGTCGAAGAAGATAGGCGCACCTACTTGGTAAAACTCAGTGAATGGAGAGCAAACAAAGGCAACCGTCCATTGCATTCTGCCTTGTACCTCTCTCTGTCTCCATTTACTTCATTAGTGAAGATAGTTACATTTATAAGTAGTTAATGACTATGGAACAATGTTGAATATACAATCAGAAAGGCTAATTAACTTTCTATCATCACTCGACGTGTAAATCGTCTGGTTCATGCGATTCCCAGTACGTGCAGTCAGGACTGTAAGCTATTTTGCGCGCTCTCTTAATTCTCGCATTTCTTGGTAAGCTCTATTTATGCTCCGTCCGCGCTAGAATATAGAACTAAAAGCATGTGTTTTGATCAGTGTATCTTCTAAAGAGTTATACAAACTCAACTGTTTAAYAACAAGTATGCAGCATTCTAAGTGCAGTCTAAGCACACTCCAAGTACAGTTTAGACATACACAACTTCTAATATTTCATTTCATGATTATGTATTGAAAATTWAGTAATGCAAAAAGGTCGCAACACTTTGCACGACTTAAAACCTTTTAATATCTAAGCACATATTGTACGAGCTAGCTTATAGAAACACTCCTTGAGGAGCATATACAAAGTAGAGAATCATATCATGATTGAGTGTAATTATAAGTTGGARCAATCTCCGCCTTTTGAAGGCAGCAATTTTGAGCTTCAAATMTWTCAAAACGCGGGAAAGTACCAAAATATTTGACGCGCGCGCGTCTGTCTTATGTCAATCGCATGGYCAGGCAAATGAAAAGCKGCCTGTTAGCCAATTAGAATGCTTCCATGTCGTCTTTTTTAAACTGACACCTTTTTATATCCACAAGGGCCATTTGTTGTCTCGCGCTTACAGCTTGTAATTCCTTGTAACATAGTTATGCTTTTTTAAAAGTACACAACACTTGTACAAATAATTAGGTAATGAAAATATTGCAAATCTTTCGCATGTTTACCTTATTCTGTCAGCTTAATGATTTATTTTGACGTTCGCTAAAAACGATGCCGCGCAAGGAACAAGGACGAGAGATCCCAAAAACTGGTAGTACCATTGAAACCACATTTCGAATTCGGAAAAGTCTGATTGAAAAAGTAAACATTTTCCAATTCAATGGATCAATTTATCTACATAAGTTGTACTTTAACAATACCAGGTATAAACAATAAAAACAAAGAATTTGTATCTCTTTTGTACAACGGCTCTTTTTTGGATCACATTGCACKGTGCATGAAGTTCAATAGCTCAGTTTTATTCGAAGCCCACCTCTATTTGTTGCTCATTTAATTTTKTAATATGCTTRTTGTTTTTGTTGATTTAATGTTGATTTTTCCCCGCCTTAGTGACTACATATTTTATAATAAGATGGATCTTGAAKTTAAAGCTCAAAATTCGCTTCCATTTTCAAATGAATGCGTTCCATAACTATTTAGTCCMGCGCCTTTCAGAACAATCTAGAGTTTACTRCGAGCTTTATYAAGGAAAAAGGATGGATTAAGTGCTAAGGTCTTTTGTAGTCCCGAAGAAACTGAAAACAATCGAATGCCGTCCACAAGAAATAATTAACAAATGGGGCCAACAGGTGTCTCGGTTGTTTCTTTAAAGATGACTTACTACCGCCATCATTGTCGAAGCGCGAACCTGAATGAGCTTCGTAATGATCAATGTTTCGCTTTCTTCTAGTTTTGGTAGCCGTTGTCAATCAAAAAGTAACYCAAATCAAAAATTTATAAATATTTWACCAGCAAATTATGGCTAAAATAAATATTTTGACGTTTTTTTGAATAATATATTATTGCTATGAGATGTTTTTCTAAATATTTTGTCTTCGCGTCTACATCGTTGTATCATCTGAATCAGCAAATATAGCTTCGAAGAGTGCTGTTTCTTTCGYGCCMATCATGAGATTAGAGAAAAAAAAGTTTGAATGACACATCACTTTACAACAAGACCACGTTTTCATTGCATTKAACTCTTTCAAAAGATCATGGCCAAGCTCTGTTGAACATCMTCTGGTGAATTGATAAAATATATGACAACTGGCTCTTGAATGTATTGCAGCTYACTTTGAATTATAAATTCTGTGAATAGAGACTAGAAATACAGCACGTTTAAGGTAGACCGACTAACAATTGCAACAGGTTTGGCAAACTTCAAGTTTTTATTGTGACGATGAAGATAGGTTTATGTCTCGGGCAAGCACATCTTACAATATTTCACTATCTTCTTCAATAAAACATTTCAAATGTATGTTATCTYAGGTTAAAACAAGCTAAAATACCTCTTCAGTTACTTCTGCTGCCGAGTAAGTGATACARTTCTTGGGTGCATGCTTTTTATTGGTGAAATAGCATTGACAACAAGCCACGGCACCCTCACGCGGTGCACCAGCAAAAAAACTGCCATTGATGCGGCAGTCAATCACAAAAAGGCAAAACTACCACGTTTACACCAGCAACGGTTGGATTGTACACATGTTTCTTTGTGCTCCAAATTTTGGTCTTGCATGAAATTGTAATTTGCTTTGTGGCATTAGATAAACATCTCCAGGACTGCCATCCCTCTCCYGGATAAGCCGGGAGTCTCAAGATTCAGTTTGGATCGTTCCTCCCGGTCGCAAGATTGCAGCTTAAAATCTCCAGGATTCACGAAAAAATGCAGGCAAAACTCTCATGTTTATTAAGTATATTA